CACAGAGAGACCCAAACCTGTAGTTGATGTTCATCCTGATGGACGTGTGTTCAGAGGAGAGACGGTCACTCTCACATGTGACACACAGCAGACAGGAGTCTGGCAGTACATCTGGTATAAAGACAGAAAACTAGTTTATAGCCCAAGACAAAACCAGAACTATATAATCCCATCTGTGGATTCATCTCATAGTGGTGTGTACAGCTGTAGAGGAACTCAGTCACAAGCACCAACATACTCACAGATGAGTGACGGAGTTACACTGACAGTATCAGGTGAGTCTGTTCATTTTTCCTTACATCATTTCAAAAAACAAACAGATTGAGTAGATAAGCAGGTAAATTTGATCTTAGTTTGACTCACCTATCATGTTCACAGTCAGATTATGTTATTATGATCTAGAAGTCTACTAACAACATAAGTCTTTACTATCACTTTTAATCAATTGAACACATCCTTGCTGAATAAAGGTGTTAATTTATAAAATAAAAATCTTACTGATCCCAAACTTCTGAACAGCAGTGTATTTTTGTAGCTCAAATCTTTTCTTACACTGCTCTGCATGAGCCACATCTGTCTGTTTTTATGAGAGAACTGAATCAATTCACTTTTAGTCATTATTCTGTTCAGATGCAGAATTGTGTCAGATGTTTCTTTACAGGACAGATGCTGTGCAGTGATCAGTGATTGTTTTAGAGAGCTGAATGCAGTTATTATTACACACAGATCATGTACTCGGCCTCATGTGCTTCAAAACCCAGAAGACTTTGGCTAATTTTTGAAACAAATTAAGAAACCTAAATAAAACCTGAAAGGTTTCTGTTCCTCCATTAAACGTCCAGGAAACCAAAACTTAGAAGATCCAGAAAAGCATGTGAATATGTGAATAAAAGCCTAAATTACAATCTGTGTATCATATAAAGTGATCGTATCTCTTCTCAAGACTTGGATTAAACTGCTAGATTCATATGGATTTGTTTTATAACACCTTTATGACATTTTGTCATATGATTGTCACTCTGCACTGCAAACTCACGTCTTGTGTGTTCTGTGTTTTGAGTCAAATGTTGTTTTCTTCACAGATTTACCCAGATCTACACTGACTGTGACACCAGACAGTCCTGTATTCACTGGAGAGACAGTCACTCTGAAGTGTGTGATAAACTCTGATCACAGTGACTGGAGATATGAGTGGTATAAAGGCAGAGACAGTGTAATGTTACAGACATCTGATCATTACACTGTAAACAGAGACACTCTCACTATCAGACGAGTGATTACATCTGATCAGGATCAGTACACGTGTAGAGGACAGAGAGATAAAAGTCCAAAATCATCACAATCAAGCTCTGCTTCTCTCTCTGTGACGGGTGAGTTGAATATCAGTGTCCACCTAAACTCACTTTACTACATGTTATGGTCAATATGAATGTCACACTTTCTTTTGAGCATTTAATTCCATTTAATCTCACTTTTAATTTGTAGTAACCTAAATCTCATGACACAGAGACAAATGATAAAATGCAGAAACAAAACACAATCAAGGGGAAGTTGTGGCCTAATGGTTAGAGAGTCGGACTCATAACCCAAAGGTTGTGGGTTCGAGTCTCGTACCGGCAGGGATTGTAGATGGGGAGAGTGAATGTACAGCACTCTCTCCCACCTTCAATACCACGACTGAGGTGCCCTTGAGCAAGGCACCGAACCCCCAACTGCTCCCCGGGCGCCGCAGCATAAATGGCTGCCCACTGCTCCGGGTGTGTGCTCACTGCTGTGTGTGTGCACTTTGGCTGATCCAAACACCTCAATCTGAACAGAGATTTAAAACACTAGGTTTCATACACTTACCGACTTTATAAATAGTGACAGAGGAAAACTGGCCATCATACACTACACGACTCACAAAGAAATGTGCGCCTTGTTGCCAGCAGACACTTGACAAATAAAAATAACATGTGTTCTTAAATCTGCTGAAAATATCAAACATGTTTGACTGGGTGGAATCAGAGTCTGACCAGAGCAGACTGTGTGCACTACATGCCATTCACCGTACAGAAAATACCATCTTCTGTGAACAAATCACTGATTTGAGCCGCTGCTTCAGCGTCTATTAATAGGGGGCGGGACGCTTCAGATTCTAGAGAGTGTTTGATTGGACAGAAAGTTTGATGAGAAGCTGAAGTGTAGGGGGATGTCATTAACATTGTTGATCCATATTGGCAGAAGTGAGAGACTGTACGTTTTGAATGCTTATTTCTTGTAAATGTGAATTTTGTCTTTGTTTTGGAACACACTAGCTTATAGATAATGTTAAGGCTAACATATTCATACTAAAATCCAAAAAACTTTAAGATGATAAACACAAAGACCAAGTACAAGCTGTAGCTAAATTCAGTTCAGAATGCGGTTGTCAGTTTTGTAAATAACAAAACTTTGTGTGTAAAACAGTGTTCAGCACTGAATTAGTTTGATAGAAGCACAGTATAGTGATATTTTGTCCTATCTGTGCCTGAAAAATGTAACTTCATAAGGTTACAGATTACGTTCTAAAAATGCTTAAACCATTTCTCAATAATTGAAGTAATAGTTTGACCAAAAGCTCAAATTTTTACAAACCTGCATGACTTTATTCCCTGGAACACAAATGGCATCACAATTGAAAGTCCTGGCTGCTCTTTTCAATAAAACAATAATCAATGAGGACCAGTGGCTCTTAAAAATGACAAAAATCACCAGTAAATTATTGATATGTCTGTTACACAAAAAGTAGTTTGACATATTTATTTCTTTATAACAGCATGAAAATAGGTATTTTTCTGAGAAAACATATAGACAGTTTCTGTATTCAGTTAACACTGAATCTACAAGCTCCCAAATGTAAAGATTGAGATTATATGTAAAGATCATACAGATATAACACTTCAATGTAAGTCTCACAATGGGTTATTTGTCTGCTTTTATCTTGATCAGATTTACCCAGATCTACACTGACTGTGACACCAGACAGTCCTGTATTCACTGGAGAGACAGTCAATCTGACGTGTTTGATTGAGTCTTACAGTAACTGGAGATATGAGTGGTATAAAGGCAGAGACAGTGTAATGTTACAGACGTCTGATCGTTACACTGTAAACAGAGACACTCTCACTATCAGACGAGTAATTACAGCTGATCAGGATCAGTACACGTGTAGAGGACAGAGAGATAAAAGACCAAACTCATCACAGGAGAGTAACCGGATACATCTGTCTGTTAATGGTGAGTAAATACTGTGATAAACACTAACATTACCAGGCACTACATGATGCACAAAAAAATAATTAAGTAAAAATAAGTAATTATCAGTTTTGGGTGGTTTAAACATACCTGCTTTTAGCAAAACAAGGTTTATTATAGAATGTGTCGGATGCATAAACATAAATGCTATTTTTCTGATGAAATTAGTGTTATACCCAGCGGGGGCATGGGTGTAAAGTCAGAGGTCTGGGAATATTGAGTGATTTTATGTACCTTTGTAATAGTATAATGCAGTATGTCACTCACTAACAGATCTGCATGTTTGTCATGTTGTCCTGTCTCGCAGCTTCATCTTCTCTTCTGGTCACTGGTGTGGTTGTGGGATCGAGTGTTTGCTTGTTGTTCTTCATCTCACTGCTGCTGCTGTGGAGATACAAGAAGAACAAAGGTGTGGAGCAGTTCATGACATGATTAATACAACTGAACAGCAACAAATGAAAGATACAGTTTATGAATAAAGGCTCATGATAAGATCTAAATTTCAGCCTAAAGAGTCACTGTAATCACTGCAGATACTCTTAAGTGACCATAATGCTCTTTGTTTCTATTATAGATCAGCAGCGTAACATTAACCAGACATCAGTCCCAAATCAATCTGCAGAATCTCAACCCGAAAAATCTCCTCTACAGTCTGGTCAGCCTCAATAACTAATCATTTAAAGTGATAGTCTTCTGTGGATATTTTCAAAATGGTCTCAGTTGCTTTATTTTTTTCCCATTCAATTAAAGTCAGTGGGGCCCAATGGTGATTGGACACCAGATTCAACATTCTTCAAATTTTTTAACTATTCCTTTAAACTTTATATATATATATATATATATATATATATATCTTTGTACCTTTTATCCTCAAATGCTTGTTTGCTGTCCAGCAGGTTCTGATCACATTTATGACGACGTGACTGAAGTGAATAAGAGAGATAAAGGTTGAGTTTTAAACCATCTTAACACATAACATTCAAAATCAGCAAGATCCTCTGTTCTGTATTAGATATTAATACTGCAGGACCCAGTGATCTGGTTTATGCACAGATTGATTTACAGGACAAAAAGAAAACCAAGGGCAAAGGTAAACACACAGCAAACTGCATCATCACATGATTCGTCACATTTAACTCCGATAAATTAATTTTATCAGAAAAATAAACCCTTTACAATCATAAAGACTGATAGAACCAATTCACTTTTTTAGAAACACAAAAGTACACAACATTCACATCTGCCTGGTTCTGCGTTCCTGAATTTAGATCAGAAATAAAACAGGCCTATAGGCAGAGAGTCACATAACCAACCTCTTGTTTTTCATGATAGGTGCTGGACTTCGTAATATTCTGATTGAAATGAAATCTAAGGACAAACAAAGAGGTAAATAAAGAGATGATCTGAA